CAGATTTTGACAAAAATACTTAAATTCCCTGACTTTTCCCTGAATTTTTTGGTCAATTTTCGAATTCCCTGACTTTTCCCGGTTTTCCAGGTAGCGTGGCAACCCTGTCTCTGTGAAAGAACAAACAGATTTTGAAAGAGTTCGGAATTTATGGGATTTGGAGTCTATAGGAATAAATCAGGAAAAGGAAATTTCGCGATCAGATGCAGATGTCATAGATATGTTTGAAAGAAATACCACATTTAAAAATGGGAGATATGAAACTAAATTATTATGGAAGGAGGGTTGTAACACATTGAACGGTAATTATGAAGTTGCAGAAAGACGTTTGATAAGCTTAAATAATAAATTTAGGCATGATTGCATCTGTATTTTCGTTATAAAGAAATAATTAATGAGCAGTTAAGGGATGGTATTATTGAGCAAGTTGCCTTTCATGGAGATTTTAATAGGAAAATTGGTTATTTTATGCCTCATCATGCTATAGTACGTGAATCAAAGGAAAGTACGAAAGTTAGGATTGTGTAAGATGCGTCGTCGAAAGTTAGAGATGGACAGTCGCTCAATGATTGTTTAGATAGTGGTCCCAACCTTAATCCAGATTTGCTCAGGATTATTTTAAGATTTCATTATCACCCAATTGCATTTTGTGCTGATATTCAGAGAGCATTTTTAGAGATTGGCATAATAGAGGAGGATCGAAAGCTTTTGCAGTTTTTATGGAGAAATGAGGGGGGAACCGAATTCGATTTCAATGGTCGTGACATCAGAATTTTACAAATGACATGTGTTCCTTTTGGTGTGAAATGCAGTCCTTTTATTTTGACAGCAACTACACGACTTCATTTAAAGAAATATGAAAATTCACACGGTGAAGCATGTTCTATTTTGAAAGAACTTTATGTTGATGAATTAATAAGTAAGGCATCAACTGTTGAAGAAGCGGTATCTCGTGCAAGAGACTCTAAATTTATACTGAATTAAACAAACATGAATTTACGGCAATGGTCTTCGAATTCAGCTATCCTTAATCAAAGATGGAAGGAAACCCAAATGGAATGTTGGACACCATCGAATCAAACAGATATACTATTAAAGGTATTACGATTAATTTGGGACAATGATAAGGACACCTTGAAGATAGATTGAATCAATTTACAAAATTTAAATATGTGACACCAACAAAACGTACAGTTCTAAGCGCATGTGGCATGTTGTTTGATCCATTAGGTTTAATAACACCATTCAGTGTTAGAATTAAATTGATAGTGTAGACTCTTTGGGGGAAAAGGCTTAAAATGGGATGAAAATATTCCAGCAGAATTGGAATCTATGTTCCAGGAGTGGTGGAATGAAGTAACCTAGCTTGAGAGGCTTGTCATACTTCAACCATATTTTGATGAGCTGGATATTCAGCAGCTGGAAGTACATATATTTTCTGATGCAAGCCCAAAGGCATACAGTGCGGTCGCATATTTCAAGATTAGATACCATAACAAATGTGTGAAAAGTTTTATAACTTCAAAATGTCGTCTAGCTCCACTGAAGAAAATGACTTTGCCGCAATTAGAAATACTAGGAAACTTGATTTCCGCACGATTATCTGATTATATACGATCCACGTTTTCTTCTCTAAACGAAAGTGACATTTTCATGTGGACAGATTCCACAATATGTCTACATTGGATTAGAGGTGTTGCAAATGATTGGAGGCAATTTGTTCACAATAGAGTGTTGGAAATCAAAGAAAAGACAAATCCATCGAATTGGAATTTTTGCAGCGGAAAGCTGAATCCTGCAGATAAACTTACTAGGGAAGTAAGTGCACGATCTTTAATTAATGATGAAACATGGTAGAGAGGCCCCTTGTGGCTAACAGAAGATGTTCTAAACAGTGAAGAAATACCGAATGCTGATATTGATACATTTGAAGCGGAAAAGGAGAGAAAAAAGGAACTGTATTGCTTTACCAACATACGTTGAACGTACCGATAGCTTGTTGAATTTGCACAAATACAGTGACTTATCTAAGGTTCTTCAAATCACTGCATACGTCCTACAGTTTATTAATAACTGTAAGAAAAATTCTGAAAAGTATAAAGGAGCACTAACTGAAGAACATGCAAGTGCTGAACACTATTGGATTCGTTTTATACAGCGTAGTGAGTTTGAAAAGGATATTATTAAATTGACACGAAAGGAATCACTTAGTTCCGATTCTAAATTATATGGTCTAAACCCGATCCTGGCGGCAGAAGGACTCATATGTCTTGGTGGTAGATTACAACATTCTGACTTTCAGTTTCAAGAAAAGCATCCATGGATTATACTGAAAAAATTGAGATTTACTGAATTGCTAATCAAAAGAGAAACACGAGAACTTTGCTTCATGCTGTTCATGTTTCAGATACACTAACTCAAACTCGAGAAAATTATTGGGTCATCCGAGGCAGCATAAGCTGTAAAATTGTGCTTGAATAACTGTTCTGTTTGCACGGAAATTTAAGGCTAAAAAAAGGCACTCAAGTGATTGCTCCATTACCAATGGATAGAATTCATGAAACGAATCTCTTTGAAATCACAGGTGTTGATTTTGCTGGACCTTTGTTTACGAAAAATGGAGACAAGGTTTATATTTGTTTGTTTACTTGTGCAGTCACACGTGCAGTTCATCTTGAAATTGTTTCTAGCCTAAGCACCGAACATTTCTTTCTAGCATTTCATCCCTTTGTGTCAAGAAGAGGTGTTTGCCGAACTATAAACTCTGACAATGTCAAAACTTTTAAAGGTGCAGATGTAGAACTGAAGAAGTTATATGCAAATATTCTTGATCCATCTGTACAAAATTATCTTGGTACAAAAGGAATAAGATGGCATTTTATTGTCGAAAGAGCAGCTTGGTGGGGTGGATACTTGGGAGAGAATGGTGAAGAATGACAAAAGGTATTTTGAGAAAAGTACTAGGAAACGGCTTTAGTTTCCTTTAAAGAATTACAAACCATTTTGACAGAAATAGAATCTATTCTAAATTCTAGACCACTTACTTACATTTATAATGATCCATCAGAGCCATTTCCTCTCACTCCTGCTCATTTCCTAACTGTAAAATGGTTAACATCCTTTACCGCTATCGATCTGGTCATGTTAAAGAACATATTGCAAGTAACAAAAGAATTTTAATTAAAAGATATTTGTATTGGGAGAAAATTTTAAATGATTTTTGGAGACAATGGAAAAGAGAGCATCTTCTCCAATTAAAAGGTGCAAATTGTTTCAAACCTGTTAATGTAACCACCGATTGTAATATAAATGATGTAGTTTTGATAGGGGATCACAAACTACCTCAGCAGCTGTGGAAGCTGGGAAAGGTGGAGTTGCATACAGGCCATGATAACAAGGTAAGAAGTATCACAGTGAAAACTTCTTTAGGTGTAATAAAAAGGCCTATCCAAATGCTATATCATTTGGAACTTGGAAAGAGATATGAATGATCGTTTTCAGAATTTTCAGGTATCTATTTAGTATTTCTTTAGTAGCTAAAATTTGTTACTTGTGTTAGTATTGTTTGATGATAATTGTTTCCTTTTCTATTTGCATTTAGCTTGTGGTAGTAAGTAAGATAAAATGTATAGTAGTAGCTAGTATGATGATAACGTCCTTTATATACAAAGTATTCATGCTATGTTGTATGCTACAAGTTTTGTAAAAGTATAAGATGTATTATTTAATTGTAAGATTTTGAATTTATGATAAATGCCTTCGTCATGGGGCGGAGGATGTTCCAACTAAAATTCCCTAATGGGATAAACTGATGTTCGGTTTTCCCGCGACGGGGGGAAAATACAGTTAGAACACACAGGAACGAGGATATGGTAAGATGTGTAGATCCGGCACTGTGCTGCATATGATATTTCATATTTGTTTCAATCATGCTGTTATTGTTATCAATAAATAATCAAAAGACAACTACTGTGAATTAAATGACTCAATACTTCAAAATGAAGACATCCCAATACCATCTGTAGATATGCCAGTAATGAAGATTCAGATATGACAATGAAAGACTGAAAAGTGATATTTTGTGTGCTGTTTGCTTCAGTGTTAAAAACTACTGAAACTAAAAACAAATTTAAACAGTTTCTGGAAATATACATGGGAGGGGAGGGAAAGTAAACTCTACCAACACACACACAGAAAAAAAAAAAAAAAAAAAGGAATTCTCCTGCATCTTTAGAAGTAAAGTATGCAAATTTATGTTCTCACAATGGTAATGGCCTGGATGACTTGTGTAATCTACTGGCAATTATTATGGTTGTGACCAAAAAAAACTATAGTTTTACTAATTTTAAATTGCTCAAGGAATTTGCAATCAGTTTTTTGCCAGATCATAATTTACTCTGAGTAGATATATTGATTAATCACTCAGAGATGAAAATGTTCCTGACCAATACCTACTTGATCAGCTGCTATCATGCAATTCACAGAAACTGCCTAAGATTTATGAAGACTAAGTGTGAAAATATGAAGTCACCTTGTATGAAAAGATAATTAAATTACTACTGAAAATGTCATTCCAGTGCTGCTTATACCCTCAAAAGACAATGGTCTTTTTTTTTTTTTTTTTTTTTTTTTTTAGTTCTATCAAAAGATTTCTGCATTTTTATTTTATCCTTAACTTTTCATTACATACACATTTTTCTAAAATAAAATATACAAAGTCACACACACACACACAAAAGAAAAAAAAATCATAACTTTCTTTTTATATATGCCCTGAAGTGTTCTTGTTATTCTATATAGTGCATACATGATAGATACCACAAGAAAATCTATTACGGAATAAAATAACACACGTAGTTCAGACTTTACCTAAAAAAATAAGGCATTCTTTAGCTTTCTCAGGCATTCTCATGCTTACTTTGTCTATATTACCTGTACACATAAAACCACTACACAAAAAAAATGAAATGTTCTTAATACAGCATTACAAAATATCTTACCATTGATTCCAGGTACATCATATATATTTCCTGTATGCAGTTCCCTGGAAAAAAAAAAAAAAAAATCCTATAAATCAACATATTTCACAAAATATTTGTTAATTTGAGTAAAATATAATTTTATTACAACAAGAATACAAAGCCTATTGGTCTTCCAAATAAATTGAATCATCTCGTTGCTTTCACCTCGCACATATTTTACATAATTATTTACTGATATGATGCAGGAATTTAAAGAGCTCGAATATGGAACTCCAAACTCACGCTGAACTAATAGCTGACAACAGCAACTACTGTAAGCAGATATTTTCACTGGCCTTATATAGTTTTCACTCAGCCGCTAAGACATTTCTAGTGCTTTCTGCTTCTTGAAATTACTGAAAAGTGATATGAGGGTCTAATTACAGGTACAACTAATATAGTGATGAATTACATTTATTCAATTACAATACCTGTTATGGTGATACAGGACTGGACCCAAATGTCACTGAGTTTGGCGATTTCTCACCAAATTTGGCAAAAAAATTAGTCGCCGAAACCGTTGCCAGCTTGGAGACATCTCGCCAAATTTCTGAGATAACCATTTACTCAATGTTAAATAAACTTGCCCCTGTATTCTTACTTTTCTGGCATAGCTTTTCTCTCTAGATATTTCATTTTTAGAAAAATATAATAATTTCACACGTATCATTTACCTATGTACAATAACAATGTACCTATGTAACAATATGTTAGAACAATTTCATGTATAAATCAAATATATATCATGAGTCACACTTTTAAGACATGATAAATGCAAACTGAATTTTGTCATTCAGCCAACCAAAACAGAAAATATAGAACTGACCTTTTCTTAGAAAGGGAATATAAAAGTTGACTATGAACCCAATTCATGACATGAGCATTAAAAACTGATTCTTACTTATATACGCTAAATTTATCGACTATAAAGATGGCAGAACCGATCTTTATAGTCTTCATGAAAACTTGGGAGGTTTGCTAATATTGGCCAGTTAGAAGATTAAAAGAGGTGAAAAGAAGCAGTTACAGGTGAAAAAACAGATCTTACTGTGGAGTGTGGTGATGGCGATAAGGAGCGCGCCTTGCGCCCTCCGATAAGTGTGGCAACCCTAGAGGAGAAATTTCTTACGAGTAGCGAGCAGAGCGAAACAGGCAGGCTGTCGGGGAGTATGCGCGATGTTCCTAAATAAAGCTTAATTTTTATTGTGCACTATGTCTTGTTAATATTTATATTAATGCAGTAAGAACATAATCTGTGATATGGAATTCGAGGATTGGTGGTAAAAACATAACAGGAAATCACCATAATGGTAACCCGGACTGTGTTAAATCGTATGAACAGTTCTCAAGCACTTTCGGTTTTGACTACAAGCCATCACTCAAGATCTCCAAACCAGAAGTAATGGATTACATCGGTTTTCATCCTCCGAATCACAGATGAGTAGTAATTATAGATCATTTTATAATTCTGTTTTCTACTTATCATTTAATTTCATTTTCTTTAGTTAAATTTTTGCTTTTATTTTGGCTTAAAAACCTTGCACAATGTCTGATGTTCATGCCGTCCAAATTCCGGTTTATAACCGATCAGACCCATCTTTATGGTTTATTATGTGTGAAAGTACCTTTGCTCTTGCCACCCCCAAACCTATCACAGAATCCATTACTAAATATAATTATGTAGTTTCTCATCTTCCTCCAGATATCGCATCACTAGTACGGGATTTACTTATGAAACCAGACCCTATTGATCCATATGCAAAGCTTAAAAACTGAGTTAATAAATCGTTCAGGAGAATCTTCTCAGCAAGAAATTCGCCAATTATTATCTGGAGAAGAATTAGGTTCTCGAAAACCTTCCGATTTGCTTAGAAATATGAAACGTCGAGCAGAATCTTTAAATGTTCCTGATAACTTAATGTTAGAATTATTCCTTCAACGTTTGCCTTCGACTGTTCAGTCTATTTTGGCAGCGGTTTCCAATTTAACTGTAGATAAAGCTGCAGAAATTGCCGACAGAATTTTAGAAGTAAATCCAACCCCAGGGACTTGTGCCGTTTCTCGCACAGTCGATCAGTCTCTTGAGGATAAATTATTTAAACAAATAGAAAAATTAAACAAACGTATTGATCGCATTTCTCTTTCTCGTGGTCGCTCGCCAAATCGCGGAGATCGCAATAAGGAAAGAAGCAATTCCAAAAGGAGAGATTATTCTGTTTGCTGGTATCATAGACGTTTTGGGAAAAAGTGTAGAGATGACAAATGTACAAAACCTTGTTCATGGCAGGGAAACGAAACCAGCAAAGAATAGAGGCGACTTATTCTTTGCCTCAAGTTTCACGTCGCCTGTTCGTTCGTGACCGTAGAACAAACCTTTCATTCTTGGTCGATACCGGCTCTGACGTGTCCTTACTTCCAGCAAATAATTCTCAAAAACGGAATTCGTCCCAACAAACACTTTTCGCTGCTAATTCTTCTACTATTCATGTTTATGGTCAAAAAACACTTTCTTTGGATTTCAAATTAAGACGACAGTTTACATGGACTTTTCTTATAGCAAATGTTAGTACACCCATTCTTGGAGCAGATTTTCTCCATTTCTTTGAATTGGTGCCTGATCTCAGAAACAAATGTCTCAAAGATTTAAAAACGCATTTTAAAACCGTCGGTTGCGTGAAAAATGCAAGCATTTATTCAGTAAAAACTGTATTTAGTGATACACCATATCACAAAATTTTAAAAGAATTTCCTTCAGTTACTAGATTACCAGATCCTAACCAACCTGTTAAACATAACACCGTTCATTATATCATAACTAAAGGTCCACCTGTGGTTGCAAAACCTCGTCGGTTAGCTCCAGATCGCTTAAAAATAGCAAAACAAGAATTTCAAACTATGATGCAATTGGGGCATTTGAGACCTTCGAGCAGCAATTATGCATCCCCACTTCACATGGTTCCAAAAAAGGGAAGTCTGGAATGGAGACCTGTAGGAGATTATCGAGCATTGAACGCTCAAACAATAAAAGACAAATACCCTATTCCATGTTTAGCCGATTTTACTGCTGCATTGCACGGTACTAAAATTTTTAGTCATGTCGACCTGATTAAGGCATACCATCAAATACCAATTAACCCAGCCGACATCCACAAAACCGCCATATGCACACCATTCGGTTTATTCGAAAGTATCCGTATGCAATTCGGCTTATGCAATGCATCTGCGACTTTTCAACGTTTTATAGATGAAGTCACGCGGGATTTAGAAGGCGTTTACGCTTTTGTCGATGACTTGCTCATAGCCTCTAAAGATTCTGAGGAACATTGCAGGCATTTGAAAGCTTTATTTTCCAAACTTCAGGAATATGGACTTTGCATAAATGTTTCAAAATGCACCTTTGGTCAAACATCTATTGATTTCTTAGGTTTTCACCTTAGTGAAAACGGAATTGAACCTCTTCCTGACAAAGTCAAATGTATTTTAGATTTTCCTCAACCTACCACTCTCACTCAGCTTCGCCGATTTTTAGGCATGTTTAACTTTTATAGATGTTTCATACCTAAAGCAGCACATATTCTTTCTCCTTTAATAAAATTGTTAGAAGGCTATATTAATAAAAAGAAATCTCGTTCTCGTGTTCAGGATTCATCCCCACAATTAAATTGGAACGAGAATGCTGAACAAGCCTTTATTGCTGCCAAAAATGCCATTGCTCAGGCTACCCTTTTGAGACACCCTATTCCCGGAGCCCAGCTAAGCATCTGGGTAGATGCCTCAGCAATCGGCGGCACACTTATGCAGTTGTCTCAACAAACATGGGAACCTATAGCATTTTTCTCTATGAAACTCAGTAAAAGTCAACAGAAATGGTCCGCGTACGATAGGGAATTATTTTCTATTTATTCTGCAATTAAGAAATTCCGACACATGTTAGAGGGCAGAAATTTTATAATTTATACGGATCAAAAACCGTTAATATACGCTTTTAAACAGAACCCTCATAAATGTTCACCTCGACAATTGCGCCATTTAGATTTTATTTCTCAGTACTCTACTGATATTAGGCATGTGCAAGGTTCAAAAAACGTCGTTGCTGACGCTCTTTCAAGAATCGAAATTGATTCCATAACAAAATCTCCATTTTTGGATTTTAAAAAATTTTCGGAAGCTCAACGGCATGATCCGGAGGTACAAGACCTTCTCAAAAACAACACATCATCTTTGAAACTGGAATTTAAACCGTGCCAATATTCTGATGGTAATATTCTTTGTGACATATCAACAGACATTCCTCGTCCATTTGTTCCGAATTCCTTTCGCAGACTCATCTTTAATCATCTGCATAATCTGTCACATCCAGGAATTGCAGCTACTACGAAGCTTATTTGTTCTCGTTATGTATGGCCCGATATGAAACGTCATATCAAAAATTGGGTGAAATCCTGTGAATCTTGCCAAAAATCGAAAATTACTAGGCATACTAAAGCACCACTGGGCACATTCTCTCTTCCTGATGCACGTTTTTCAGAAATCCATATGGATATCGTCGGACCGTTACCTCCATCAGAAGGCAACGTGTACCTTTTGACTCTAATAGATAGATTCTCCAGATGGCCTGAAGCCATTCCCATCCCGGATATGAAAACGGAAACCATTTGCAGAGCCATCTTCAACTGTTGGATATCTCGTTTTGGCTGCCCATCGATCATAACAACAGACCAAGGTTCTCAAATGAGATCCGCACTTTTTGCAGAATTCACGCGCATTTTGGGTACGAACAGAATCACAACAACAGCCTATCATCCAATGTCAAACGGCATTGTTGAACGATTTCATCGACATTTAAAATCTTCTCTCAAGGCTCACGAGACCAATAACTGGACTGAAACACTACCAGTTGTTATGCTTGGTATTCGGACAGCCGTAAAGGAAGATCTACAGTCATCTTGTGCTGAACTGGTGTACGGCACAACTCTCAAGCTGCCTAGTGATATGATAACGTCATCTAAGATATCTCCGTATG